ATTGAGTTTGTCAGTCCTCGCTATTTTCTGAAACATTTTAAAGTCAAAACTTCGAAGAAACGATAAGTAAATATTCATGTGCGAATCGCATAGCCGTGAATTAGATGTTAATATTGGCTAGAGACGAAAAAACACATGCACTCCAATGCAAAAGTTTTTAATCAATAGGATGTTTTAAATTATTCAACACAGGAGAACCGGCTGACTCTAACAACTGAAGGAGAAAATAAGTTCGAGTTACCTGAAGCGGATTGCTGAAAAGTTATCTGCAAGGAAAATGGCTTTCACTTCGGGTAAGCAGAGAGTTCGAGTGAACGGAATTTAAGTTAGCGACGACTTTCTGCATTAATTCTAATTTACTCCATTTTCACTGCATTAATTTGCAGTGGGGAAGGACTACAATGGAACATACGAACCATTCGAGCTAGTCCACCTTCCCACCCACCCATCGCAAAGCTGTGACTGGTTGGTACTTGACAGCTGCGATTCGTAGTGAGCTTAATGGTTCACAAGAAGACGCACCAGTCGATCGTATGGCCTGAGGAAGACTCGCAGTGTGCCGTCGAAACATCGCTATCGAAAGTGACAGCACCGTGAGTCACACAATATCACTCGAGAGATTAAAACGTTAGCAGTTTGTAGTCTCTTGTAACGCTTCATTACCAGTATTTTGTTATTATTTGTTTTACTTTCACGCACTCAATGACCCTTTATGGATTTCTCTTTAAACCCCGTCACCTTCTCTTAGCCCCCTTTTTAGCGGACTTACATCGGCCCCTAGACGGTGATGCTATGTTCCGGGGACTGGTTCCTCTTACTGTCAAATTTTCATCGGGAGTCAATCGTGTCAAAGATATTCTCCTTTGAGAGGAGTAACTTTTACCAGGGGATAAACCCTTACTTAAGGCCTTATCGACATCAGAGTCAATTAACTTCGCTTTTGCTTTCGCTTTTACAAAATGAGCCTTGCAAGGCGGTTCAAACGTCCTCGCTAACTCCACAATGTCATAACATTCCGAAGCCTTGAGTGCGTACTGACTGCGAAGGGCATGATACGAGGTAGCCACACCCCGCGGGCTGGCGCATGTAGACCCTAGAGAAACTGCTGGCCTTGGATGGCACGCTTCGCAAGGTGGTGATTTGGGTACGGGTGGTTTTTTGCCGATCGTGTGCGTGTGCGCAGACGCGCTATGGAACTTTCTAGAGTTGTTGTCCCCGTTAGATTTCATGCTAGATGAATGAGTTCGACTCTTTGGCGGAGGTCTTGCCTTGGGATAAAGTGAGCCAGGAACAAATGAAATACCTAATTGGTATCCACTGTTACGGAAAGTTTGTACGCTATCCGATCCATCATCCGAAGCGGAAATACCATTATTGGACAAACTATTCTTTCCCGCCGATGAAGTTCGCCTCAATCTATTGACGGCAGATTTCGCTCGGTACAACTGGGGTGCGCTGACTTTCGCAGATTGAGTTCTCGAGTTATATTTTCCACCGAATAAAACTCGGTTCGATATTCCTATTGCCGAGTTTGAAGCTTCAACTTTCTCTTCTTTGTATATTTCCCACAAAACAGTTTCCTCTCTCAGATTTTCCAGCTCTTGTAATCTGTGCATGAACAGATCATTCTTTTTTGATCCTTGAAAGCACACGTCTTCAACAGTCTCTTCGACCCACGTTTCCGGATAAGGGTCATGGAACCTAAATACCAAGTCCTCCATGGCCAGTTCCTCTGGGACAAACAATTCGTCGAACTGAGGATCATTTTTCTCCCATTCTTCCTTTGCCCTCGCATCAGCTTCGGCCAATTGCTGTCGGAGTTTTTTGGGATCTGCACTTTTCCCCGCGCGTTTCGTTCTAGTGCGAGAAGACGGACGTAGAGTCGGAGAAGGAGAAGTACGGGAGGGAGAGGCGGATGAAGAACGGCGTGGAGGGGATGGACTGCTGAAGTAAAACGAAAATGAATTCAGTTCCCTAAACAGGCAAAATAAGAATTCAATTTCTTCTTTGACCATGTAAGAGTGACTAGCATCTAATTTCTCCTTATTTCACGACTCGGGCAGTCAGAGGGCCAATAACTAAAATCAACCAATCAAAATGCTCTATTGCCGGTAATATTCTCCCAGTATTGCACCGTGCATTGTCCCGAATGGTCCCGAATGATACCGCACTTGCGTCCCTTCGAACTTCAGTCGTATAATAAATCTCTTAATAACCAAGCTTGCTCGGGACCGTACTGGAAGAATATCGGCCTTTGGTCTTTTTTGTACGGACCTCGCTGCGCTCGGTCCGTACTGTCAAGACCTCGGGCCGATATTCTCCCAGTACGGCCCTCGCGCTTGGTTAATAAAATATATTTATTGTATCTCCCCAATTCACACATTAAGGTCACGAGAATAGCGGAAATGATCACCAACAAAGCAACTTTTGATTGACAACACCATAGGAAAAGTATGAAGAACAGTATGGAGAATGGACCTACTCATGACGGGGCTCGGAAAAATGTTGTAGAGGTCTTACCATGGAGTTACGAGAATGTATCGCTAACTTTGTACTGCATACCTGTCATGTCGACTGCAGGGTCTTGTAAGGTAGCTAGCACAGGTTGGTCCTAAGTCGTTACACGGTTCATATGGAGCTTCAGTGGCAGGGATCTCTCTCTTACTCATGGCTGCTGCCAGCTGACTACGGCAAAGAGCAGGGCTTGCTATACCCTCATTGTTCATGTGGTGCTGTGGAGGATGACGCGGACACATTTAGGGAATCTTTGAAAATTCTTTCAATTCAACTTTTGAAAATAGTCATTTGCAACCAAGCAGCGTTCTGGGGTTAAACATTGGGTATATCGCACATACAGTATTTTAACCAACAGCACTAGCTACTTTTATTGAATGATTCTAGAAACCTAGTTTACCAACTTAACTAACTCCCCTCCACAGACATAAACAACTACCAGCGCCATACAAACGACTTATGATACCGTTCAGTTAGTGTGCCACTCCGACCTAACTTTACCGACGGCTCGAAAATGACTAATCACGACCGACTTACGATACCTATGCGTTAAAACTGATAACTTAAGGAAAACTGACCGATCGGTTTGCACCAATCAGACTTTTTAACACTCGAATGACAAACTCTGCACTTGGCTCTGATGATAAGATACGCTAAAGTTGTCAAAATATCGGTCTGTGCTCAGACTGTGCTACAGTCCACAGTTCTCCGTACTATTTTCACTACGCAATGACGTCATCTCTTGGGTTCAAACCAATTACTGAAATTCATGGAGCAAACGAACAAGCATTGCCTATACCTTTCCGTGTAAACTGTGATTGTTCCAGGGTTCGTACACTTTTTCAGGCCAAAGATTCAAGGGCTTTTCAAGGACTTTCCAGGACCCTACTTAGAAATTTCAAGGACTTTTTGTAATGACAATTTTATCTCAAAACGAAGAAAAATGTTTCTGTCGTGACATCTATGTTTTGGGTTTACTGATGGTGCAAAACAAAAGCAGATATTTTTCGATGTTGTTCAATAAAAAATCAAGGACTTTCAAGGACCCAAAACGAAATTAGTACTTTCAAGGCCTTGAAATCGGCCTCCTGAAATTCAAGGGTTTTCAAGACGCGTGCGAACCCTGTTGTTCCTGAGATTTTCGAGAAACGCCAATCAGCTTGAGTCAAAATATGGAGCCGGAAGGAAAAAAACATTAAACTACTAGTTACAATGTTTCTTATTAAATCCATAAATTTCATAAAGGAGTCTTCGAGTTGAAATAAGTTTAAAGTAAATGGCAGTTTGCCAAATGAGAGAGCAAGAATCATTCAATTCAAATAAAAATGAACATACAAAGGCTGGCAAACCAATGGTACTGATGATGAATTGAAAATAATCTTCGGAGGAAAAATAGAAGAATTTAACAGGCCTTACCGGTGCCAAATAAGTAATGGAGCGGAACGAAATCAAAAAGCCATTCCATTCAAACATTTGAATTCAGCATAATGTATGGCGTTCCAAACAATTCAAGTTAACTTTCACTCAAGGCATAAGTACATGCTAGCTACAGACGGAAGGTTGCTTAGGCAACTGAGATGCAACTTTGCACGCGAGAAACTCGAGTTAGCTCGCTAGATTTACACAATTGATTAGAACATTTCCGACTTTCAAAAGGCAGAAGAAACAAGCGGACAGTCATTGCGAATTCCTTTTTCTCACCGGAGCGCACCTTGACTCGTTCGAAGAATACAAACGTTTAAATCATTAACTCTCAACACATAGCGGCATTGTAATATAACGCAGATGCAAACAATTTTTTTGTCTGTGAAGTGCGCACGCTTAAACATAACTTGAAGAAACTGTAAACCCTACAGTATAAGTTGTCAATCCGTGATATTACTTGGAGAAAGGCATGTATTTTTCATCTGATAACAATCGTTATGAAGACACCAGACATAAATCTGAATACGATTTTTACAATTTGAGATACGTGGTGTTAACAAGACAATTTTTAAAAATCTTTTAATAAACGCTTACATCCAAGCCGGCTTGAGTTGAAATACATGCCAAAATACATGCATACAACGGAAAACGTTTTTTGATACCGGGAGTAGAGAAATTCAAATTCATCTTGTAACTTATAAAATCTAAAATTATTTGGCATTAGTTTAGATAGGTTGATCTCACCTATGATGTCTTTCTATGTGGCTTTTATCGATTCTGAAATAACATTTTTCCGTAACGGATGCCGACAAAAATATTCACAACATTTATTTAGAGAAAGAAGTTATGCGAAGGCTTTTATCAAACAGTATGTTACTGCTTTGCTTGCTCAGACTAGAAGATCTAGATTTGTAGATGAACGGCGAAAAAAAAAGAATTCAGATTATTTTCAAATTTAAAATAATATTCAAATAAAAAATGAACCTTCCATGTAGCGGCTTTTGATAACACGCATGCAGGTGGTAAAACAGAAGAGAGGTTAGAGTGGCTCATGGTGTCTGAGTTGTTTACACAAACATTTCTTGTATCAAACGGGCAGATTTGATATTTCTTTTTAATTCAAAGCAATTTGAAATTTAAGTTACACCGTAGTTCCAACGAGGAAATAACATCCTATGGTATGATGGTGTTTTACCAAACTCAAGCGTCAAAACGTGATGATACGCATGATAAATTGCAAATCAGCCAAAACACTGTACGAATTGTACGTGTTTCGTATAGAAGGACAAACCACTGACAACCTCAGCTGGTCTATTCCACACAGTACATCACATCGTGCTTAAAAGATATACCGTATGTGATCTTCACAGCGAGTTTCTCCCACAACCAAGGTATTTATACAACACAAAAATTATAATCGCTCACACATTTGAGATTGATAATATATAGATGTGGAAAGGTTCTTTAACTTTAAACAAGTGATACCTTGAAGCTGTAGATTCTCTGCTGATTCATACACTGATTCACTTCTCGAACTTGCTGAGTGAGCCGTTTGAAGAGTTGCTTTGGAGAAGAAAAAAAAAAGCGTTTTGAATATTGAAAAACTTGTAAGCATCAGCTGTTCATAGCACAATGGACATCAAACGTTCACTTAAAGATGTCTTGTGATAATGATTATGTTTTGGAAATTTGAATATTGACTCTAAAGTACAGAAAAAGTAGTATTTTTTTATTGCTATGACACCTCTGCCAATAAAAAAAAACTACTTAATGACTTAATAGAGAATTGATGGAGTTTTAAAGAGAAATCTCAATTCAAAGATTCAAATTATGAAAAAAGAGCAGCATACACTTCATTGCATATTCATCTAAGCAGAAGCAAACTTCAGTCACTTATAAAGGGAATGGGTGCAAAATAAAAAAAATATATATATATTTTTTATGCTCTTCCTTTTATAAGAAGCCTGCCCTCTCACTTGCCTCACATTTGCCTACACTCTTAACAAAAATGTGCAAAAGTTTTGCCTGTTTCTCAGAGTAACTCTAATGAATGCTGCAGTATCAGCAAAGCAGCCCTCAGGGCCTCCTTTGTCATACCCTGCCTTTTGCAGCTTTATGCCTCAACTAGTATTTAAAAAGGGGGCCTGGGTCACACGCTAAGCTTGCCTGAGCAGTAATCTGTTAATAAACCACTCAAAATACCAGATCAAAGCCCATCTGAGCCCTTGCAAGTAGCATTTTTATCCAACAGCAGCCTATCCACCCTTATGGACTTCTTGTTTTTTTTTTTTTCATTTTTCACTATGTATAATACCTTCTCCTACAGTTAAGACTTTTCATAAAATTTATATGAAATGAGCTATTGCTGTGAACTACAGTTGGTCCTTACCGAAATAGCCCTGAAATTTTACAACTTTGAAACAACTTCTACTCACTGAGAACTATATGAGATAAGAAGGGCCAAACAATTCCACAAGTCAAACTGCAAAATGAAAAACTTTTCTTGCTTTTTTCCTCAATTTCCATGTAAGGGTACCAGTCAGCCCAGTTTTTTCTGGCATGATCCAAACATATCAAGTCTGGGACACTGTACAGTTTCATTAGTGAAATTTAAATGCAGGGTATTCTCAATATCTGTATAAGAAAAAAGCCCAGACTTCCAAAATTTAGCAGCAAAATTCTGCATGGTGGCAAGAGAATTCTCTAATGTACATTGCCAGATGAACTCTTATCCTGAGTTTTGGTGTCACTATAGCTAGAAAGTCTAATCTTAAATGACATTGAATTCCCTCAGCTACAACACTGATACAACTCCTGACTGGCACAGCTACAACTCCTGACTGGCACATAAGCACCATTGATTAAGTTAATTTCCCTAAGTCTAGCCTCTTACCAAAGTTAGTTTGAATTCCTTGACAGTATCTGCAAATTACACAAAACATCTTACATTAAACATATGACAAGAATATGAATTTCAGATGCATCTAGAGTCAACTCTTGTCCTTTCCAAGAATCCTGGCTCCTGATTCTCACATGGACAACTAAGTCAGCTGATGCCAAAACATTTTTAAGTTGTCCACAATCTTGTGTACACAACATATTCAAAAGTACTGAGAAATAAAATTTTATATGAATTGCATGTCACTAGTGTATTCCTATACTCCATTCAAGAGGGGATTTTAAATTTTTCCATTTTGGCTATTTTTTTTAATCAGTTTTTCCATTTTTGTGGTTCTGTGGTTTTTCCAGTTTTGGCGTTCATTGCGGTTTGCAGATTTTCTGTATTTAGCATTTGGTTTTTGTCAAAATTCTAACAGTTTTTCAGATTTAGTATACAATGTTGTTTTCAATTGTTCCTATTTCGGTTCTGGTTTCTCTTCAATCCAAGCAGCAAATTATCATCATACATGGCCGCCAATCTCGAATAGGTGTGAAACCTCTCTATGCTCCACTTGTTACCACAGTATCAGATCCATTAGGGTTTTGAAAACTGGGATGTGGAAATTTATCAGTTCAGACTGTTTTGCATGTGGTTTTGGTTTTGTTTGAATTGTTTAGTGGTTTTCAGTTTTGGATGAGTTTTTCTGTGGTTTTGCAGTTTCAAATCAACCCCAATGCCCCCCTCATTCAGTGTTCCACAATCACAAAGATAGGGTAGAGCATTGTACAATTGTACAATGTAGAGCATTGTACAAAACTGGTGCACTGTTCCTAAATATTGCAATCTCCCAGCCATTGTATCATCTATGTTGTCAATGACTCTAGCCCTTAGAAAGCAGGTGGCACTGAGACTCAAATTGAGGTGATCTTTACAAGAAAAGGTTATTTGGCAAGAGTACCATTATGATGTAACCCCCTACATTAATTATGCATTCAGACTAGTTGACTTTG